CTCTCTCTCTCTCTCTCTCTCTCTCTCTCTCTCTCTCTCTCTCTCTCTTTCTCTCTGACCAGTTTCTCCCAAGAAAACGATGAACGTGAAATTTAGCAAGTGATTAGAAAAACCTCAACTTGGATTTTGCCGAATCTGGATAAAGTTATGTACTCTGGAATTATTCTAAACCTGACCCAAAAAAAAAAAGTGTTCTTGATCTCTTTTCAATTATTTTACATGGAGATGCTATGGTCCCGTTACGCAATCATTTCATCGAAATTTGTAATCGTTAAATCAATTATCTCTGACAATTGCATGATATTTACAAACTCGATGGAATAATTTCGTAACGGACGGTAGAATTTCTATATTTTATATATTAAAGAGAAGTGATGAAATTTTCTTCTAATGGGTGTTGGAAAAATCAAAGAGGTCCCTCATTTTAGTTGGTCATTAAAATTGTTTGGTTTAGACCAAAAATGGGACATTTGGTACATGTCACTATTCTTGGAGTAAAGAATAGTTTCTTACATGTATTACCAGCTACTTTTTACAAGTCAATAGAACCTTTATGCCCAAAATCATTCTTTTATCACAACTACAAAATTGAATCTATATAGGTTTATCTAGTTTTTATGTCTATTTTATATGTCACCTAAACAAAATCAAACTCAATCATTATGTTTCACATATTTCTAAAAATATAGATGTGTAAATTTCTTTTTTTTTTTCTTAAAGTACAATTTTTACAAGGACAAAAAGAATTAATTTTTATTTTAAATGGATAGAGTACAAGGTGGTTTTTATTTTAATATTATTTTATAACTACTAACAACATTCTCAATTCTCTTGTTTATTCAATCAAAACTTAATGCTCTTTCTCATTCACACCATCTCCCCATCATCTGTCCACTAAACATCTCTCCGTTTAAATTTTAAACACAAACCCATATTTTATCCATTCATTTACATACATATATGAGACTCATTATCCACTCATTCAATATAAATTTTAATATTCTATTCTCAATAAAAAATAAAAATTTAACATTTTTAAATTATAATAATAAATTGTAATTGCATGAAAATAAAATACCACTACAAGCCCATAATAACTTAGATAATATTACAAAAAAAAAAATTAGGTGTATTTAAAAATTATTGATACTATTGGGAAGTGTGATATAAATAAAATATAAATTATTTTTTTTTTTAAAAAAAAGAAAAATGATTGAATAAATGATTTATTTAAAACAAACGAAAGAAAAAAAAAGGCATGAACGCGTTCAATATACCGAACGCACAGCTTGGCCCCCTTGTTTAATGGATGCGCCACATCCATAATAATGACAGGGGGCGTTTAAACGGCCAAAATGAACAATGCAATGTGTGTGTCCTAAACGGTGGAATTTGGGCCCATGGGCCATGACCACTAAGTTCGCCCTACCAATCAAAATCACCGCTTTGCTTTTGAAAGTATATTATATTAGCGATTTTGGGCTTGAACGCAAAAATTACATCTATTGTGGTTGTTGCCAATGAATATCTTTTGAACGAACTTTAACATTCCAAAACTCGTATACTACATGTTCCACATCACACGCTATCAAATAATATATGTGTGGTGTGTACTAATCTTGCAAAGGGTTGTAACATGATTGTAATAAGAACATGATTGGGGCTGAGCATGAGATTCGGAGAATTTCGAACGGTTTGAAAAGCGAACCGAAATCATTTCGAACCGAAAAATAATCGTTGACCGTTTGACTTTTTTCCGAACCGAACCGAAAAAAATTAGTACGGTTCTGGAGATTTCGCAAATATTATCGAGAACCGAACCAAACCGTCCCATACCGTACCGAACCGAAGAACCGAATTATAACATTAGATTTGTTATTAATATATTTTATGTCAACTTTGATCCTATATAATACAGTAATAACTATTAACTTTCACTTAAATTTCATGCTTAGTAATACTTGATCTACAATTGAATTTTTCTATTATAAAATAATTATTAAGAATATAGGAAAGATTATTATTTAAAAAATATTATATTTTGTTTGATTTTTTAGTTTTCAATATTAGTTGCACAAATTTAGTCTTAACTAAAATTAGAGTTACTTCTAAAGTTGATTTCAAAATAAAATCTTTAATATGAGGAAGTATTGATGAATGTTGGTTTTATTAAAGCATATAAAAATTAAAAAACTAAAATTTAGAGTTACTTCTAAAATTGATTTCAAAATAAAATCTTCAACCGATGA